AAAAAAATTCTGAGAGAAAAAAAAAAAACGAGGGGAGGGTTGTTATTAAGAATTATTTTACAAAAATATTTTTTTTTTAGAGAGAGAGAGAGAGAGAGAGAGAGAGAGAGAGAGAGAGAGAGAGAGAGAGAGAGAGAGAAAGGTTACAGAATATTATTTGACAGAAAAAAAAACATTCTGAGAGAAAACAAAAACGAGGGGAGGGTTGTTAAAAGAATTATTTTACAAAAATATTTTTTTTTTTACAAAAAAAAGTAGCTGAATGAATGGGAGGAGATAGAGATAGAGATAGAGAGATAGAGATAGAGATAGAGAGAGAGAGAGAGAGAGAGAGAGAGAGAGAGAGAGAGAGAGAGAGAGAGAGAGAGAGCAGAGAGAGAGAGAGCAGAGAGGTTACAGAGTGAGTCAGTTAAATTCATATAAAAAGAAAACAGGAAAAACATAAAATATTATTTTACTAAAATAGTAACGTGTAAAAAAAAATGTTGAATAGGAGGAAGCAAAGAGAAAGGTTATGAAATATTATTTGACAGACAAAAAAAAAACATTCTGAGAGAAAAAAAACGAGGGGTTGTTATTATTAAAAATTATTTTACAAAAATAATTTTTTTCTTACAAAAAAAGTAGTTGAATGAATGGGAGGAGACAGAGAGAGAGAGAGAGAGAGAGAGAGGGAGAGAGAAAGGTTACAGAATATTATTAGACAGGAAAAAAAAAAAATTCTGAGAGAAAAAAAAATGAGGGGAGGGTTGTTATTAAGAATTATTTTACAAAAATATTTTTTTTTTTTACAAAAAAAGTAGTTGAATGAACGGGAGGAGACAGAGAGAGAGGGTACAGAATGAGTCAGTACAAAAAAAAAAACTGAAACAAAGAGTGAGGGGGTTGTTATTAAAATGATTTTTTTTACAGAAATAGTAAGAATAGAAGCAGAATAATGATTTATAGAAGTAGTAGTACAGGCAGGGAGGGTACCCCCCCCCCCCCACCACCACCACCACCTCCAGCAGGTGTACTGGGAACTATAACAGTGAATTTAACACTTCTGGGATAATCACAGGTCAGATTTTGAAAGCTAAAAAAAAAATAAAAAATTAAATAAAAAATTAAAAAAATTAAAAAAAAAAAAAATTTAAAATATTTAAAATAATAAATAACCTGCTAGTGCTGACATGATTTGCATGTGTGTGACCGCGTGGACATGATAAATAAGGAACTGAAGAAGAATGATCGATCACCGAGTAAGGTGTTCAGGGCACATTTTTAGGTCCCCAGTATTCTGCCACCACTGGGAGAACATTCCATAGACACCGCTGGGACCAGTGACATCTGTGAATTTTGATTGCAGCAAGAGAACAAAACCCAAAGAGAGAGAAAGGGGGGGGGAGAGGTCTGAGAACACCCCCTCCCTCCCTTCCCCAGACCTACAGAGACCCCTCTGTCACACCGAACCTCTTCCATATACAACAAAAGCTACAAAATAAAAATATATAAGATGCATAATGATACGTGATAGTGAATACATGACATGCAGCAATGCTCCATAGACAGCCTTGGATTATACATAATGCTAGGACATACAGAAGATACACTTGTGGTTTGTTTGTTTTTTTTTAGCCTGGAAACTCTTAAAAAAAATGAAAAAAAAAATGATCAAAAAAAAAATGAAAAAAATAAAAATAAAATAAAATGAATTAGAAATTGTTGCAGAAGAAGAAGGTGGATGGTTTTTCCATCTCAGATCTTGGACCATCTCAGATGTTGGATCTTGGACCATCTCAGATGTTGGATCTTGGACCATCTCAGATGTTGGATCTCGGACCATCTCAGATCTTGGACCATCTCAGATGTTGGATCTCGGACCATCTCAGATCTTGGACCATCTCAGATGTTGGATCTTGGACCATCTCAGATCTTAGACCATCTCAGATCTTGGACCATCTCAGATCTTGGGACAGCAAAGACACCTCCAGACACAAGAAAACCCATTCCCAGACTTTGAGGTTCTCCATAAAACAATGGCGGCTAGAACAAAAAATTAATTTCTCTTTTTTTTTTTTTGAAATCTCTAATAAAAGGAAGGTCACCTGATAGATTCTGCTGTGGTCAAGGCGCTGGAAGGCAGAGAGGCACACAAGTCTCTGGGAGAGGACAAGACAAGAAGTGTCCAGTAAACATCTTGGCTAGAATAGGTCATTCTGGTATTGCCATGTCTGGAGCTCCAAGCTCCTGGAGTCTTCTACTGAATTTTATTTTGTATAAAGTTTCTTTTTTTTTTAATGTTTCCTTCCTCCAGAAGAGAATATAAGTTAAGAAAAAGCTCTTTTTTTTCATTTTTGTTCTTTTTTTGTTTTTTAGGAAAACTCCAGAGTCCATGTTGTCCAGGTGTCCTCTGGTCAGAGATCATGGCAGGATGAGTCTGATTTGACGCTGTGGGAGAAGACTTCGTGTTGTTTGGGGGTCTCCTGGTGGGGTCATCCTTTTCTCTTTCTGTCTCCTGTTACAGAACCAGACCCGGACCACCTCCTTCTCCAGCTGCAGGCTGTCTGCCAGGGAGGAGATCTCCTGGGCTGCGGGTTTGGGGCATTTCAGAAAGTGGGTCTCCAGCACCCCCCTTGACACTCACCTCTATGGAGGTCCTCTTCTTCCTCTTCCTGCCCTGAGCTGCGATCTTGTCTATGCTGGTGGGGCTCCCAGTGGAGGAGTCAGCCTCCTCCAGCCACTTGTTCAGAAGGGGCTTCAGCTTGCACATGTTCTTGAAGCTGAGCTGGAGGGCTTCGAACCTGCAGATGGTGGTCTGGGAGAAGACATTCCCATAGAGGGTGCCCAGTGCCAAGCCCACGTCAGCCTGGGTGAAGCCCAACTTGATCCTCCTTTGTTTGAACTGCTTGGCAAACTGCTCCAGCTCGTCGGAGGTGGGGGTCTCCTCGTCGGAATGGTCCTGGCAGTGGTGGCTGTTGAGGTCCCCATGCTCGGTGGCATCTCTGAGCACCGGGTGTAGGCTTTGGGTGCTCACAGTCTGGGGTGGTGGTGGGGTGAGGGCACCATGGTCCAGCATGCCACTGACACTGAAGCCAGGCTGGGAGTAGATGGCCTGGCCGCTGGAGGTCAGAGAGGGTTGTTATGGACCGGGCTGGCCCCCCAGGCGTTCGGGTGGTTGGCATGGGGCGACCTGTGGTGGATGATGGCCCCTAGCTGGAGATCTTCTCTACCAGGCTTGATGTCCTGCTGCTCCAGGGGGCTGCTAGCCCAAGGGTTGACATCGGCCAGGCTGCTCATCCAATGGTGCCCCAGAGGGTGGCCATTGCTGGGCACCCCCTGCAGGTAGTCGGTCTGCAGCAGCTTCTGGGGGTTCCTGAAGGGGCTTCCCTGCTGCATGCTGCCAGGTTCTGCATGGACCAGGGCTGGGCTGCTCAGGAGGCTGTAGGGATTGGAGGCAGCTGTGGCCATTTCGGCTCCCCTGCCAGTCAGAGTGTGGCACAGGCTCCAGCCCCTGACATCTACAAGGTAAGGGGAGCCTGATCAGTGACAGCACCCCCAGCCAATGGGGACCGCCGGGGGGAGGGACTCTGCCTGCACAGCAGCTTGGCACTGGCAGGGGTTAACTGCTGCTGAGGAGGAAGTCTTCATTGGCTCCTGAGAGTGCCGGGGATTAACCCTTCCCTGCCTGCAGGAATCTGGAAATATTCTCCACTGTCTGCCTACATATTCACCCCTTCCCTGAACATTCACCCCTTCCCTGATTATTCACCATTTTCCTGAATATTCACCCTTCCCTGGAAATTCACCCCTTCCCTGAACATTCACCCCTTCCCTGGAAATTCACCCCTTCCCTGAATATTCACCATTTTCCTGAATATTCACCCCTTTCCTACATATTCACCCCTTCCCTGAACATTCACCCCTTCCCTGAATATTCACCCCTTCCCTGGAAATTCACCCCTTCCCTGAATATTTCACCCCTTCCCTGGAAATTCAACCCTTCCCTGAATATTCACCCCTTCCCTACATATTCACCCCTTCCCTGAACATTCACCCCTTCTCTGAATATTCACCCCTTCCCTGAACATTCACCCCTTCCCTGAATATTCACCCCTTCCCTGAATATTCACAACTTCCCTGAATATTCACCCCTTCCCTGGAAATTCACCCCTTCCCTGAACATTCACCCCTTCCCTGGAAATTCACCATTTTCCTGAATATTCACCCCCTTCCCTGAACATTCACCCCTTCCCTGGAAATTCCCCCCTTCCCCTGAATATTTCACCCCTTCCCTGGAAAATTCACCCCTTCCCTGAATATTCACCCCTTCCCTGAATATTCACCTTTCCTGAATATTCACCCCTTCCCTGAATATTCACCCCTTCCCTGGAAATTCACTTACCCTTCCCTGAATATTCACTAAAATATTCACCCCTTCCCATACATATTCACACCCCTTCCCCGAATATTCACCCCTTAACTAAATATTCACCCCTTCCCTGAAAAATTCACCCTTTCCCTGAATATTCACCACTTTCCCTAAATATTCACCCATTCCCTGAATATTCACCCCTTCCCTAAATATTCATTCCCTTTCCCTGAATATTCACCCCTTTCCCTAAATATTCACCATATACCATGAATATTAAACCCCTTCCCTGAAAAATCACCCCTTTCCCTAAATATTCACCCCTTTCTCTAAATATTCACCCCTTCCCTGAATATTCACCCCTTTCCCTGAATATTCACCCCTTTCCATAAAATTATTCACCCCTTCCCTGAATATTCACCCCTTCCCTAAATATTCACCCCTTCCCTGAAAATTCACCCTTTCCCTAAATATTCACCCCTTTCCTGAATATTCACCCTTTCCCTGAAAATTCACCCCTTCCCTAAATTTTCACCCCCTTCCCTGAAAATTCCCCCTTTCACTGAATATTCACCCCTTCCCTAAATATTCACCCCTTCCCTAAATATTCACCCCTTCCCTAAATATTCACCCCTTCTTACTAAACATT